TACAACGTAAGTATAACCCTCAAAATAAGTGCTGAAATGTTATGCCGATATGAGGTATTTTTTGCCGAGCTAAACAGGCCAGAGTTACCGCCCTTTGATTATGACGTAATTGGTGCCACTTGAATTTAAACTGGTCTCCTGTCTAGTCCCAAAACAAAAGATCATAATACTGATATTAATCACGTGAAAAAAGTTCGTGAAAATACGAAGAAGCATAAGAACAGAAAATGTAAGCAGCAGGACGGATTGGTCGTGTGTATTTTCATTCATAACCTCGCCTCAATGAAAATACCAAATATGTATAACAATGTTGACGTCCGTATGACACCACTATCAGGAAGCGACTTTTTCAAAATGGCGTGTTCACTGACACGAGTTTTCGAAGGAGATTTTCGTTGTTTCAAGCAACGTATATGCATAAATGTGACATGTAAGTTGTCCGAAACTTCTGTCAGTCTGCTGGTTGTTATTTTCTTTTTGTTTTCATTGTGACCAAGGGAAATAGTCAGAAATTAAGAGAGGTACCGTCATCGTTGTGCCTGAGTTGGCGTCAATCATGGCGTCACGCTTTCAGAAACTGTAATATGTTGTGATGAATCTAGAAAATCATTGGCATACACCTGTTTTATTTAACTATCGCTTGCTACGATACCTTTCCCATGCATGTTCTAAAACTAATGATCAAACACACTGACAAACTGAGCGTACCTTAACATGATCACCATCAATTCCTGTTAAGAGGATGATTGGGCCTGGTCTGTTTTCACCTGAAGAAAAATGAAGCATCTGAATGTATTAAGTCTACACATGTATAGAGAATACTTCATTATTTTGTTAGCTAATGGTTTACAAAATGAATGGTACGGAAAAGGTTCAGTTTCCATCATCTATGAGCTGACTTTTCAGGGATCGATTTAGAGCTTTGTTACTTGCACTGGTGCAACCCAATATTACAAAGTGCAATATAGTTATTTGTCTAACATGGCCCAGGTGCAAGTCAACTTTTGGGAAATATATTAACTATATAAATCTAACACTATAGGCATAATTATGTGAGCTCATTTTTCTTCAAAACTTTGAATAATTCAATAGCATATTTCTTTCATTACATATTGCAGTGAAGGCAGTGCAGTTGGAATTTGGCTGATGCAACTAGGTTTCTATCTTAGGTTGCACCTGGTGCAAGTATGTCAACGTCTAATGGAGCCCTTCTTGTCTTTAGTAGCGCCATGCATAGAATGCATGTGAATTTGATATTGTGAATCTTGTTTGGTTTAGTAAGTGTTAGTAAAACATGTGCTTTCATGACAAACATCTATAAATAAAGAAAAGAAGATTGTATCAGTTAAAGCTTTTTGAATGACAGTGGAAATAACCTTTCCTCAACCTAAACATGCTGAAAAACATAACTGACTTGCTGTTAAAGTTTTTTAACAGGGAACAAGGGCTTGTGAAACAGTACAATTATGTTTCTGCATCATTTAGTCAAATGACCTGTATCCTTAGCTTTGGCCTGTGATCCACATTATCAAAGAGTAAAGATATGCCCCAAGTTAAAGATGTGACCTAGTGCATTTGTTCCCCATTAACTTGGTAGAATCATTTCAATATTTCAATTTTCTGTAAATAACTTTTTAAAAAACAAACAATTTACTAACCAAACATTTTCTTGAAGTGAAATGTTATCAGAAGTACAATTTGCCTTTTGTCTAATGACCAGATGAGCAACAATGAGTAACAATGACTCCAACAAGTAAACTAAAAGATGTCTCGGAACACTTGACAAGAACATATACTCACCACATCTTACTGACTAGAAGGCGGATAAATGTGAGATGTACCAAACCATTAACACAATTTGACAAAATACACAGCATAAGCTTCTGCATCATGGAAAGATAGGATAACAAATACACACTAAACGAGAGAAAAAGTTCAAGTCAGCATATGTTCTGGGGTCTTTACTCTGATATCTATCTGACTGCAAGCGTTCTGTTTATACTAAGAGGCAGAGAAACCTAAAATGTTTGGATACAGTAAATAAAAGTAAACGCATCACCAAACAACAGCTGATCTAAACACAAAACTACATCAGAAATATCTGTTATGAAATTTGACAAGAAAATAAGTAGTGTTACAAATCTAATTTCCTGATTCATGTTGGACAGTGAAGCATATATTTCTTTGCACTGCCTGTTGCAATAATGGAGTCAAGCTTGGCCAGTTAAAAGAGGTAGCATGAATTTCGGAGTAAAATGGCCAATGCTTTGTAAGCACCACATCTGCCATTGTGCTAGTGCTAGTTATCGTTCACAATATGCAGATCGATAATCAAAGCTCATTAATTGATCACAACAAAACTTAAGTGGGCACTAACAGGACGCAATCAAAACATTGTTCAAATGAAACAGGCATCAGTTAATATAATGATGAAGATGATGACTGATTGGATATGTATGTTGAGGTATGTGCATAATAAAAGTTAAAAGGTCATTTAATGTACAGTGTGAAAATACCATGTGTTTTCATTACAAGCTAATTATTTCTAGAATTCGTGAGAAAACAGCATAGTAATAGTTGTAATGTGTTTTGATTCTAAAAATTAAAAATTGTTTCTGAATGAAAAATCAGGTGTCAAAACTGACAGCAATAACCATGCATACATTGCGGTTTGGGATATCTACATATGCTGATGTCAGATGCAGTCATGACCTAAGCTCATCTGACATTCAGTGCTCATAGAGCCAGTAGTTTGTTTGTATAAGCCTGTTAAATACATTGAGGGAGAGAAGATATGATAATTATTTGTCCTAAATAGGGACTAACTAGACATGACAAATGGTGTTTCAAAGTAAACCGGGTCAGGTGAGCAAAAACTTCAAAATATTGCGTTAAATAGTTTATGAACTATCTAATCTAATGGTTTATGCTATATTTATAGGGGAATGTTAGGAAATCAGATATGTATGACAATAAGCTCAAAAATTCTGAGAGACAATGTAGATATATGTGAGCAAGGGATAATTTTTATGCTCATTTCTTGCTTCCATCATGACCGCCTCCGTGGAGTAGTGGTTAGAGCGTCCGCCCGGACAGCGGAAGGTCGCAGGTTTGATCCCCGAACCGTCACACCAAAAGACGTTAAAATATGGTACTTGTTGGTCCCTGCCTGGCGCTCGGCATTAATGGGTACAACAAGGACTGGTCGGCTCGAGTCAGTATAATGTGTCTGAGTGGGGGTATTCATGCTTCACTGCGGCATGGTATCTCAGTGGGCTAGCACTATAAAACCAGCTTAAGTCTGGGCTAGTACAAGCAGTCGCATACACATACACACGCATGCACGTCATCATATGAGCGAAATATTCTCAAGCACGACGTAAAACCCAATTTCACTTCACTTCACTCTTGCTTCCATCAATTTCATGATTTATAACATTATAAAAGATAAATAATCCAGAAATATTGCTGATGGAAAAATTATTAATTATTATTGATATTCAAATTAAGTAATTGTGTAACAAGAAGGTTAACTTGCAATATTCAATACAGATTTATTCATATTCTATTTCTGATGATGTACAAAGTTTGTACCACTTTGATACAGATTTTAAGTTAAGACTCTGAGATCAGCTTATCAACATACATATACCGTAGATTTCAGACTTTAAAATAATTAACAATCTTTAGAAATCGCAAAGGGAAGATATTGTATAGATATTCACATTCATAACAAAAGAATATACAGAGAAAAGAATCAGAAGTCTAGAAACATGCCTAAATAATGGCTCAGAGTTGACAATTTTAACAAGACTGCCGTGGAGATAATGTGTTCAGTGGGATCAATAAAGATTATGACAGACAGATTGACTAAATCAGTGGCATGATATTGAAAAGCCACTTGGATACTTACTTTTGATTGCCATGGTAAATCATCTATACCATAATCGTACAGGATCTCTTCCCTTTGTTTATAGGCCTGCAACAATTGTTATTTGTAACATGCTCAAAGTAGAGTCCTCAACAGCATTATATAAGGATGAACATATTTGTTAAGATCCTGTAAATTGGGCAGTGAAACAGAAATAAGAAACCAGAATAGAATAAAGAAACAAAGTAATCAATTTGTTTGAGTGGAATTTTAGAAGTTGAGACACGTACAATATAGAACAAGTTTTTATGGATAACAACTTCTTTATTTCGTGAAGTGCGACGTTTCGATACAGATTCTTGTACCGTTGTCAAGCAAAGAGTGATACATGAAGTGTAGGAGCTGCATATATATACTGTATATAACAATGAAACAACATAATAGACAAAGAAACAACATAATTGCCATAATTGGCTATACGTATATATATATGCAGCTCCTACGCTTCATGTATCACTCTTGCTTGTGACAACGGGTACAAAAACCTAATATCGAAACGTCGCACTCCTGAAATAAAAAGTTATTATCCATAAAACTTTGTTCTATAATGAAAATCATCAATATCCCCAGCAATGGTAAAATACCCATCATGAATATGTAAACTAGTTATGATTATGTCAAATGTACAGTTTGATGTACCTCACTAGTGTTCTGTTGATTTATGTCATTAGATTCTTGGATACCCACAAAGTGGAAAGAGTATTGAAGGTTTTAAGTTCCAAACATCAATCTTAGTGCTACGACTGTTACAAGTCTATGTTAAAAAGTAAAGGGAGTTGTGATCTTCTTAAATATTGAAAAATATGTGCCGTTGAGATTGACATCCAGTGATCGAGGGAAAAATACACCAGCACCTTGGGCAAGCACTAGTTTGCCTGGATATGTGCGCTATATAAATATCATATAATAATATTTTATTCAGAAATCCAAACTACTGAGTGGCACCATTTCAACACCAGACCTGTCTATGTGCCAAGTTTGGATGGATGGAGTCCATTTTAATACCCCCACAGGATAATGAGCAGTCTGCATTATTACAAGATATATTGGTACATAGAAGAATACATACCTTGTACAAATCAGTGCCAGAATGTGATTCCCTTTGTTGTCTGATATTCTGAGCATTTTGCTGTTCCTCTCATCCACCTCACCATGATTTACAAGACGGCCTAAACGGCCAGTTTCCTGAGTGGCATCAACACTGCATGCAAAATGCTATTAGTAAACATTTGTCCAAACACAACTAAATTAGAGGCAAAATATTCATGATACATCAGAGAAGGACAGTCATACAAAACCTCAACGCCTACATTGGTTACTGTTGCTATGTCCCCCAAGCTTTTTGATGCTGAGCTGTCAAAATGGCTGATTGTCATCCGGGAGACGACTGTCTCAGTTCGATACCGGACAATATTTCCTTACATTTGCACCTGGTAGATGTTAGGACTTCATGATAAACACTTGGACTTAAGAATGTTGAAAATGATTTTAAGCTACAGGTTCGAGGGAGGAGACGGAAATGTTTTAGGCACACACTTATATTTTCCATGTTATCTTCACTGAAAATCTAACTTAACCTTGAACATGTGAGTCATTCCTCTCTAGGATACTTTACTTGTTTACTCACCAATATGTTCTTGAATTGAATTTGAAGAAGTAGCGGAAGCAGGATGCTGATTTCTTCTCCCTTTCTTCCCCTTCTTTACCAGTGACTTTCTCACCATCATAGATGAGGAGAAAATCACCTTTTTGTCTTGGGGTGTCTGTCACTACACCTCTACCTAAATAAACCAAACATAAAGACAGACACATTTTAGGCTTGCATGTAACATTACTAAAAGCTTGGGAGAAAATCACTAGTTCTGAATGAAATTACTAAATTAAACTCTCAAAATAGTCACCACCTTCCCCTGGGGACTGAAAGAGAAATAGCAGTTCTGTTGGTATTTTCATTGTGTTTGAAACAGTAACATCGAATATGGTTATTTTGGTATATATAGTCACTTTAATTTCAATGAACTTACAAGCAAAAATAAGCTTAACACTGTACAGTGAGTTGGGAGATTCCATCAGTAGAACACCTAGTTGCACTAACAACAATAAGTGGAAGTCAAGAAGACAGACAAACCTGTTCATATAAACTCCAAGGTAAGCTTGCTAAGGCATAATTTTTTTTTGTTGTGGTTAAGATTACCCGACCGACCCTATCTTTTTAGGCTATGAACACAATAAGCTTTCAGATACCATTGTTTTTTCCCAGCACTGACGAACATCGGTTGTTTTGATAGAGAGAGTTGAAGAGTTGACATGATGGCCGGAAGCTTGATTGAATAAACAATTACACATTGACAAATGTGATATTTGTTTGTATTTTACTTCTATAAAAATGTTTTAAAAAATCCTATCAACATACCCTAAATTTCAAAAAGCCTAAGTTGTAATCGGAACCACAACATTTTTTCATTTGGCCTAATCATGCATATTGTCATTCTAACCTTTGACATCAAACTGCTTAATGGTGAATCCCTCAGGGTCTTTGCTTTTTTGGGCCCAAAACCGGGCCAAAGATACCTGATCTTCATTTTGCTGTAAAGACAACGAACAATAGTTCAAATCCACACATACAATAAAATAACAACATGTAAGAAATCAAGTTCAATGTGTTTATTCATGGGGACCTATTTCATCCCATAATAGTATTAATACCATGAGAGTTTGAATTCATTCTCTACACTTATACCAAGTGGTCATTTAGCAGCCAGGTTCCCAGGGTCGGCTGCACTACGCTATGACACTCAGCACTGACTACTGAATGGTGGGCCAATGGCGGGCTTCACTACATGCCATATATTACGATACAAACATCCAATAATGGGTGGTTAGAATTTCGTCATACAGTTTGAAAATGTAATTTTTAGAGTAAAATTGATATTTTATACTTATCCTGACTCATGCTCTTTTGCTTGTCTTCTTCTTCTTGCGAACATAGTGGAACACTTGTATCTCCTTATTTGAAGCTCCCTTCAAAATAAAATCACTAATTGGTACTCACCACGAGTTGCTCCCCTTTGTTTCCCCTGGCGGGAAAGGTGTCGCCACCCTCTGGCCATGTGCTCCACTCTCTCCTGATTTTGCGAGCCCAACACTTGAACTTACAGGGAAATCCAAAGTGTTATGTGGGGAGGATGGGAGGGCTAACCTCATGAGTCAGGATAAGTATAAAATATCAATTTTACTCTAAAAATTACATATTTTTCCTTATCCTGACTCATGCTCTTTTGCTTGTAGCATCCTACGGACACGGAGGTGGGAGTAACAGAATACTTTGGATTTATAATTAGTGATTTTGTATAGATATACTGTAATATCCCCTACGGGAACTTCATGAAGGCTTAGACTTAGGATGTTTGTTGTATTAAAAAACCATTGGTTACATAATGCCATTAAAGGGGAATTACATTATAAATATATTGAACAATACATATATATATATATATATATATAAGTGACTCTGATAGAGGCACTGAAACTGAAGATATCATAGTATAAGCTTAAGGCTGAATAACTTAAGCTGAACATATATACATAGCCCTAAAACTCCGTAGAGTTATAAGCTAGATAAGTATGTATATAATACATATTAATCTTGTGAGGGTAATATTTAACGCCTACGAGGAACTGTCAGTTGCTGAGCGAGGACCAGTGGTCCGAAATGGTGAATGCCAGAGACATCTTCTGTAGTGATGTCTCTCAGGTAGTGATTAGCAAATACCATGTTAGATTTCCAATAGCATCCTTCCATAATCGTGTTCAAGGAACAGTTGCCGTGAAGGGCGAGGGTGGAGGCCAATGCCCTGATCTCATGTGGATTTGATGCTGTTGGTGGGTCCAAGCCTGCTGCCTTGTAGGCACGGAGAATGACAGTCCTTATCCAAATAGATATTGTGGTCCGTGACACTTCTGTTTGATTTGTAGGCGATAAGGGGATGAATAAACGTTTGAGAAATCTTCTCCTTGTTTTGGATCGTCGTAAATAAACTTTGAGCGCTCTTACTGGACACTGGATAGCGCCGGGATGTGGAATAACCTGTCTGGTTGACCTGGCAGTTGATTTTTAGCGATGAAATCCCATCTTAGTCCGAGGTGCGCTGTGTTATGATTGTCATCAAACTGTATCCTCTCGTAATCTAGAGCGTGAATTTCAGACATTCTTGCTGCCGTGGCTAGAGATAGCAGAAAAAGTGTTTTCTGTGAGAGAAATTCAAAAGTTGTCGATTCCAAAGGTTCATAAACCTCACTCGTGAGGTGTTGTAACACTATATTCAGATCCCAAGCTGGGGGCGTGGAACTTCCGCTTTTGGTCCTCCAATCGGAATGCTCGTAGTAAGGCCAGTAACTCTGGAGATCTTGTCAACTTGACACCCGTTCTCATGGTGATTACCGAACTAAGCGCGGCAAGATATGTTGATATCGTTGAACCTTTTAAATGTTTGTTTTGGCGCAGGTAACACAAATAGTCTGCCACTTGAGGCTGTGAAGCCTCTCTCGCTGTAAAACCTTTCTTTGCTGCATAATTTTCGAAACTGTGCCACTTGTCGTCGTACAAGTTACGAGTTGAGTAACGTAAGGCAAGCGTGACTGCTTTTGCCGCCCTGGCAGAATATCCTCTCTTGTTTAAACACATTTGTATACAGTCCATACGTGTAGTTGGAACATTGCTGGGTTTCCGTGCACTTGTTTGGTGTGAGGATGAATTAACAGGTTTGCGCGCTTGGGTAGCTCCAGTGCTGGTTGACCGATTTCTTGAATTAGTATGGGAAACCACGTTCTGGCCGGCCAGTAGGGCGCGACCAAAGTGAGTTGTAGGCTCTGTGTTTGTCTGATTTTCTGTAATACTTGAGGTATTATTGCTGGCGGCGGAAACGCGTACGCATTGAGGCCTTCCCATGATAGACTTAGAGCGTCCGTTGCCCAAGCTTGAGGGTCTGGGACTGGTGACACGAATGTCGGTAGCTGATTGTTGAATCGCGTGGCGAAAAGGTCTATTAGCGGCGCTCCTAATTGCTTGATTATCTGTGCAAATATTTCCCTGTTGATCATCCACTCTGTCGGTGATGGTAGATGAGGCCGAGAAAGAGCGTCTGCTAGTATATTTCTGGCTCCGGGAATGTGAACTGCTCTGACATGTAGATTTAGATCTTGTATTAAATCGAACAATTGAAAGCTTAGGTTCAAAAGGTTCAGCGATCTCGTTGAGCCTTGCTTGTTTATGTAGAACGCCACTGTCGAATTGTCTGTATGGATCATTAGGTGCGCATTTTGTAGAAATGTGCTCCAATGTAGAATGGCGTTGATTACAGCTTTCATTTCTAGACTGTTTATATGGAGTTTGCATTCTTGCTGATTCCATAATCCTGATATCGTGTGGTTGGTGAGATGAGCTCCCCAACCTTGAGTGACGCGTCTACATATAGATGGGTTTTGAATTCCTGCTCTGCTAAACAAATCCCTTCGCAGACATTCGATTTCTTGGTCCACCATAGTAGATGAGGTCTGAGATGTTTCGGTAGACTGAATGGTTGTACATCGTTGAGATGTGCGTTGATGAGGACCTGTAGGGGCCGTAACTGTAATCTGCCTGTGACAGTCATGTCTTGGGCTGATGTGAGAAGACCTAGTAGGCTCTGCCATTGTCGAAGTGGTAACGGAGAGAGTAGAGCTGGTGGAATGGTCTGTTGTATCTTGAGCCAACGGTCTTCTGGTACAACGATACGGTTGCGATTTGTGATGAATCGAATACCTAGGAACTGCAGGTCTTGCGATGGTACTAGGTCCGACTTGCGTAAGTTTACTAACCATCCTAGTTGTGTTAGTAGCTTTATGATGTAATTTAACTGTAGTTTGAGATGCTGTGGATCTTGATCTACCTGTATCCCGTCGTCGAGGTAAAACGCACTGCGTAGCCCTTGACGATGTAGAAAGCTGATAATCGGTTTCGTTATCCTCGTGAATAGCCAGGGGGCTGATGATATTCCGAATGGGAGTACTTTCCACTGGTAATGTAGCCCTTCTAGAGTAAACCGTAGGTATTTCCTGGAATCGGGATGAATGGGGATGTGCAGGTAGGCATCCTGTAGATCTATGCTGCCCATGTAGTCCATAGGACGAATCATCTGGCGTAACTGAGGTAAATGTATCATGCGAAACTTCGGTGGTTTGCGTAGATAATTCTTGTTGAAAAAGCTCATGTTGTAGATGAGTCTGTATTTCTCCGTGGAGTTTTTCTTGGGAACTAGGAAAACTGGGGAGTAGAAACCTGGTTCGACGTTTGCTTGATCTATTACTTCTATGGCCTGTTTGGATAGGAGTGATGAAACAGCCTCTCTTATCTTTGGTAGTTGTTGCGCTTGTAAATCGAACTTGAGGGGTTTGATTGTCAGCGGAGGCTTGGCCTGTAGTGGGATACGAAATCCGTGTTGAAGAATGTTGGAGACGTAAGGGTCTTGCAATATTCCCCAGTTTTCCCAGTGTAGTTGGAGGCGTCCACCCACTTGTGCTGGCTGTACTGGAACGGCTGGGGGTGGAAGACTCCAGTCGTTCCGAACCTGTGTTTCAGCGTCTATAGTTGCGGGAACCTCTGGGTGTCCTGCCTCTTCCTGATCCTCCTCTATAGTTGCCATATGGCCGACGAAAAGAATCTTTACCTCTAGAGCTGGCTATCTTCCTGTCTCTTGCTCTTTGTAGGCCCGTGAACTTAGATCTGCCTGAGTATCTTTGTGAAGTCTGACGAATGACGCTGGCTAGTGTGTCCATCGATTTAATCATAAGGACTTCCCTGGAATCCTTAGAGACTTCCTTGGCGACTTTGTCGATTTCTCCGTCAAAGATGGATGTTGTCGACCACGGGGCTGTATAAAGTGGGGCTGTAAAGTTCTCCCCCCAATTGCAGGAAGCGAGGAGGCCTTGACGACGAGCTAAGGTCAGTGCTGCTGAAACAGATGTAAGATGATCCGTTAAAAACTGCTGATCTTTCTTTTGCATAAGTAAGGCAGAATAAATCATTCTATCATCTTCCGTCGTGGAATCCCGGAATCTAGTGATAAGAGTCTCATTGATCGTCCTAGATCTATTTAACCCAAAGAACATACGTCTCGTCATGGTTTCTATATGAGCCAACTTGCGATCATCCATCTTGTAAATCTTGTTCTTGACATCGCTGATGATCTTATAGTTCTCATCGATGTCCTGGGCTTTGTAGAAACAGTCCATGTTATGCGTGGAGAACTTCTTGGCATGAAAGTTGGGTAGATGTGGTGTCTGAACTTTCGTAGCTTTCTGGAAAGCTGCATCTAGATTCTGTGGCACTGCCGCGATCGGGTCAATCGGGGGGTAGAGTGATCGCATCTGGATCGTCTTCCTTCATCAAATACGTCTGCGCTGTATTGCCACTTTTAGATGGTGATGAGAGATCTAGGTTATTGACCATCCAATACCGTATCTCTGCATCGGAGAAAATGATTCCTCCATCATCCTCAATACCATCATCATTAACGAATTGTAGATGCTCTTCGGGACTGCGTGTAGCT